GTAGTCTGGGTCCTCTGGAGGACCCGGCCTGTCGTTTTGGACACAGCCTGTGTCTCGTTTGTCTCCCGATCAACCGGTGACCCGTCCAGTTGTATCGGGTTTAGGCTGTAGGTGTTGGGTCTAGACCCTGCCTGCTCTGATCCTGAACAGAACCAAGCGAGACCAGAAACTGGATGGTGGATCTTGCTGYCWTTATTGCCGGTGTTGACAGTTTTGTCTCAGACACTTCCTGATCACTGGTTTATTAAATCTCAGGGACTCGTGAGCCTGAGAGGTCTGAGAAGAGCAAACAAAACTGCACTTTATTACATTTCAGGTTTTTTTACCTGTTGTTTCAGCAGAGATCCATATAGTTTATTCTCAAAAGATACCTCCGTTTAAAACAAAAACCAGAAGTTTCTGCTCACAGAAAAAAATAAATAAAAACCTTTAGCAGTTCAATAGTTTTTTATAAAGTTCCTCTCAGTTGGATGAGTTTTATTGATTTGTTTTGGTGGTATATTAAAGACAAATGGTTGTGCAGGACAAATTAAAGTCTGTCTTTACCTTTTTCTGAATCTTTTTCCTTTGTATTTATTCTTTATTTGTAGGTTTTTAATCCCAGTACTATCAAACTTTTATAACATAACATTACTGSTATTCCAAAGTAAATAAATAAATATACAAATACATAATAAACGTGTTATCTGGCTTTGCTGGTTTAGAGAAAACCTTGTAATTTGGAGAACTGAATGCCATTTAAATGCGCTTATAATTACAGGTTCTATAGTTTCATGGCACATGTAAGGTGTGCTCCAGTACATTAAATTCTCCACATTAGTTGTTGTGTGTAAAATACAGCCAGCAGGCACAGCCTCCTGCACCTCAGTGAGTAAAAAAAAACTTACTGCAACTGTTCTGTTATATAGAGTCCAAAATCTCGCAGCTTCCTGTTTGACAGTTTTCAGCTCCGGCTGTCAGTTTGCAGAAAAATACAGTGTTTGCATTGAAAATAGGGCTGTGT